TTTCCCTTCTAAAATAGAGTGTTTTGGTTACTTCATGTTAGTGATGGTAGATTTTTTTACTCCTTTGGGTGTTCAGTAGATGATAAGTCAAATAGGGAAGCCCCTGGAGGCATCCTTGTGAAGGGGACAGAGCAGATGGTGAGGACTCCCTCCTGGCTGCTGCTTTCTCTCTGTGGTGCACTTTGAAGTGCCACCTGTTCTTGCCCTGATGGGGAAGGGATGTGGGGCAAATTGGGGCCCTCTCCAGCAATTTCTCTGTCACAGTCAAGTGGCAGCCAGTGATTGCTAAACCAACCAACTGGTGACAGCAGCCTTGCTCAGGCACCAAAAAGGGAAAGTGGGCCAAGGGTGAGGGACAGAGGGCAGGTTGTTGCAACAGTGATCTTTTAGCAGCACAAGGGTACTGTCACCAGAGAAAAGAGCCATGGAAGCCACTGGGTTCTTGTCTTCACACAAGGAAGAATTCAGGCATTAGACAGAGAGCAAATTGATAAGGTGGTGGTTTTTTTTTAAACATTTATTTATTTATTTGAAAGTCAGAGTCACATACACAGAGAAGGAGAGGCAGAGAGAGAGAGAGAGAGGCCTTCCATCTGCTGGTTCATTCCCTAGTTGGCCACAATGGTCGGAGCTGCACCAATCTGAAGCCAGGAGCTAGGTGCTTCTTCCAGGTCTCTCACGTGGGTGCAAGGACCCAAGGACTTGGGCCTTCTTCCACTGCTTTTCCCGGGCCATAGCAGAGAGATGGATCAGAAGTGGAGCAGCTGGGGCTTGAACCGGCACCCATATGAGATGTTGGCACTGTAGGCAGTGGCTTTACTTGCTACACCACAGCACCGACTCCAGTGATAAGGCTTTATTGGGGATAGGGCATCCATCAGAATGGAAGGGATAGAGAGAACAGTGCCCAGTCACTGGGACTGGGGGAGAGCAAGATCATATGGTTGAATGGAGAGAATACTCTTGGGCAGGCCAGGCGGGTGGCTCAGCAGAGAGCAGAGGGCTGAGCAAGCAAGCAGTCTGTTTAGACTCCTTTTTTTTTTTTTTTTTTGACAGGTAGAGTTATAGACAGTGAAGAGAGAGAGAGAAAGGTCTTCCCTCCATTGGTTTACTCCCCAAATGGCTCTATGGCTGGTGCGCTGCGCCTATCTGAAGCCAGGAGCCAGGTGCCTCCTCCTGGTCTCCCATGCCGGTGCAGGGCCCAAGCACTTGGGCCATCCTCCACTGCCCTCCTGGGCCACAGCACAGAGCTGGACTGGAAGAGGAGAAACCAGGACTAGAACCCAGAACCCGGCACCCATATGGGATGCCGGCACCTCAGGCGGAGGGTAACCAAGTGAGCCACAGTGCTGGTCGGGTTTTTAAGAGAGTCTGTTTACCCACCTCCCCCTCTCCTCCAGGAAAAAGGATGGGGAGTCCTAGCAGAAGGGTTTGTTGGGTGGAAATTAACAAATTCCTCCCCATATTTGCTGGGGGATCATAGTGGAGGGGCTTCCCCTAGGGCTCTGTGATGAATTTATTGCCCTGTGCTATCCAGTCAGGTAACCCATTCCTGAGGAGAGAATTCTCCTGGGAGCTGTCCTTGGGGGAAGGGCTGGGAAGACCTTTCCAGGTTATCAGGGACTGAGCAGGACCTTCAAGTGCAAATTGCTGGGCTCCAGGGGCTTCCACGTAGGTGCTGGTCTCACACACACACAGGCTAATTCCTGACTTCCTGCCCAACAGTACCGTTCTGCCATAAAGTCACACCATCCATATCCCAAACAGTTCCTACCCCGCAGCCTTGTGAGGCTGGAAGGCCCTATACCTTACCTCCTTGCAGGTTCATTCTCATTTCTTCAACCCCATGTAACTCAATGTTTAATGCTTAGGGATGTTTACTCCCCTTTCAGATGTAGAAGCCAAAGCTCAGACAGGGTAAACTGATCTTCAGAGGTCATTGGCAAACTGGTAAGAGTGGGGACTGGTGTCTGGGTTTCCTGAACAAAGACTTGTGATGCTATCAGAGGCTGTCCTGGGGCTACTTGGCTCAGGCTCCAGGAGACTGTCATACAGGGACAAAGCCTAGGCCCCTGGCCTTTCAGTAAGGCCAGGAGTGGCACACAGAGTCCTGATAGGCACTGGGAAAGCCCAGGGCCAAGTGCTCCCTGAGGGCTTCCTTTTCCTTCTCTGCTGTGGTAAGCATCTAGGCCTGTGGCTCTCCAGCCATGTTCTTTCTTTGCCCCGAAGTGTTTCAGAGGCAGAAATGAGTCTGCTGTGGAGTCCATTGCTTTGTTGGGCTACAGTTTCCCGGGGCTCACAGGTGGTCCAGGAATTAACTGCTTTGTGGAGCGTGGACTTCTGGGTAAAACAGATCAGAGCTCCTGGCAGTGGCACGATGGATACTCAGGACAGCTTTGGTAAGGCCTGCTTCCTCCATTCCACCCACCGACCAGAGGCGCAGGAATACATCTAAGGCCAAATAAAAACTGGTGGTGGGTTCTAAGTGAGCTGGGAGGACTGGTTCGGAGAAGAGCTGGCATGCAGAGGTTGGCAAGTGACCAGCAGTTCCTAGGAGGTGGGTGGGGGGCTTGAGTGGCTTAAAGAAGTGGTCACTTGTCACTGAAGAGGTGTTCTTGCTGTGACTGAAACCCTGTAGTAGGCAGAGGGTAAGAGAAAGCTTAACGAATGCAAGCTGGGAGTCTAGACCAAGAGCAGGCCTCAGAGTTGTCACAGGGGATTTAGACTCTCTTCTTCCTGGAAAGGGGGGCTACCTTTTAAATAATAAACCTATCAAGAGCACGTGAAAGCCATTGTTTTATCAGAACAGCAGTAGGTGCCCTCACTGTAATAATTTTCAAGGCCCACTGCTGTTGGGCTAAACAACTTGCTGCTCACCGGGGTTACTCTGCATCCCTAGTTGTAGACATCTCTGAGAAGTAGCTCCTTTGTATCAGTGTCTGTGCAGGATGTTGATTGCCTGCTAGGTTTTGAGTAGGACTAGGTTGGGATGGAGCATGTTCAGTGTCTCTCTGTCTTTGTATTTCTCTCGCTTCTGTAGGTCTCTGCTCTTGGCCTTTTCACCCACTGTCACTTGTTGTTGGCAGCTCTATTCCAGTTACTGGCTGCCTGTGGGTTTGGTTGCTATGGTCACCTCCACTGGTGCAGCTGGACTGGCTCGATGCAGGCAGGATGAATGCAGGACAAGGGTAGAAGATGTCTCACGTCAACGGTGTTGTCTCCTATTGCAGGGCCTTTTGGACAGCTCAGCTTGGCATTCATGAAGGCCCTTGGGTCCCCACTTGCTACAAAGGGTTGGTCAGGAGGGGCAGAGATGGATCCCTGCTCTGGGGACCACGTGTAGGAGCGGGGAGCCAGGTTGGACCTGAAGAAGGAGTGTCCATCCTTACTCTGAGGCTGTTCTGTAGAGAGGTGAGGAGCAGCTCTGTGGCCACCTCTCCTTTTTTTTTTTTTTTTTTTTTTGACAGAGTGGACAGTGAGAGAGAGAGACAGAGAGAAAGGTCTTCCTTTTGCTGTTGGTTCACCCTCCAATGGCTGCCGCGGCCGGCGCGCTGCGCTGATCTGATGGCAGGAGCCAGGAGCCAGGTGCTTTTCCTGGTCTCCCATGGGGTGCAGGGCCCAAGCACCTGGGCCATCCTCCACTGCACTCTCTGGCCACAGCAGAGAGCTGGCCTGGAAGAGGGGCAACCGGGACAGAATCCGGCGTGCGCACCCGAGACTATAACCTCTTGTCCCGGCCCCACTCGGCGGAGGATTAGCCTAGTGAGCCGCAGCGCCGGCTGGCCACCTCTCCTTTTAAAATGATTTTTAGGCCGGAACCGCAGCTCAATAGGCTAATCCTCTGCCTTGCGGCGCTGGCACACCGGGTTCTAGTCCCTGTCGGGGCGCCGGATTCTGTCCCGTTTGCCCCTCTTCCAGGCCAGCTCTCTGCTGTGGCCAGGGAATGCAGTGGAGGATGGCCCAAGTGCTTGGGCCCTGCACCCCATGGGAGACCAGGAGAAGCACCTGGCTCCTGCCTTTGGATAGGCGTGGTGCGCCGGCCACAGTGCGCCGGCCGCAGCGGCCATTGGAGGGTGAACCAATGGCAAAGGAAGACCTTTCTTTCTGTCTCTCTCTCTCACTGTCCACTCTGCCTGTCAAAAAAAAAAAAAAAGTATAAAATGACTTTAAAAATTTTTTTTTAAAAAAGATTGATTTAAGAGTTACAGAGGCAGTGGGACAAACAGAGAGTGATCTTTTGTTTGCTGGTCACTCCCCAGATGGCCACTATGGCCAAGGCTGGGCCAGGCCATAGCCAGGATCCTCCAGGTCTCCCAAGTGGATGACAGGGGCCCAAACACCCTGGCCATTTACTACTTTTTTTCCCAGGCCATTATCAAGGAACTGGATTGGAAGCAGAGCAGCCGGGATTTAAATTGGTGCCATATGGGATGTTGACATCGCAGGAGCTGGCTTTACCCACTACGACAGAATGCTAGCCCAGGAATGCCTTTTGAAAACCCGGTGGCTGGCTGGCTGGCTGGGTTGTGGGTATCTGAGAATAAGTCAGGCAGATCAGCCCAGCACAGGCCACTGGGGATTGCTTAGAGCAATGAAAGGACTTAGGTCCAGCTCTGTTCTCAGCCCTGAAGCAGCTTTCTTGTTCTCTACTTTGTAATTGAGGCTGGATTTCTAATCCTACTTGTATCCCTTTAAACCTATAAAACCTGACAGTCTGGGCAAACTAAGGAGTGAAGTTGTGAATTTGCCTTTCCAAAGTGTTGGTGGTAGGACTTCCTGAAGAAAGCAGATCCCAGGTAAGATGTACAGTGGGCCTCACATCCAGATTTCCTGAGTATTGCGGTCATGGACTGACCCTGGAAAACTTGGAAGAGTTGTCTACCAAAAAGCAAAGAATTGAGGGACACTTCCCCTCCAGCCGGTCACTTACTGCCTGTCCTTAGTGAGGTCTTCATATTCTGAGATTAGAAGCAAGTCTTTGAAGCAAAGGAACCCAGATCTTTTTTTTTTTTTTTTTAAAGATTGACCCATTTATTTGAAAGTCAGAGTTACACAGAGAGGAGAGGCAGAGAGAGAGAGAGGTCTTCCATCTTCTGGTTCACTCCCCAGATGGCCGCAACAGCTGGAGCTGTGCCCAGGTGAAGCCAGGAGCCAGAAGCTTCTTCCAGGTCTCCCACATGGGTGCAGGGGCCCAAGCACTTGGGCCATCTTCTTCTTCTTCTTCTTCTTCTTCTTCTTTTTTTTTTTTTTTTGAGAGGAAGAATTAGAGAGAGAGAGACAGACAGAAAGGTCTTAATTCCATTGATTCACCCCCCCAAATGGCCACTCTGGCCAGCGTGCTGCGCCAATCCGAAGCCGGGAGCCAGGTGCTTCCTCCTGGTCTCCCATACAGATGCAGGGCCCAAGCACTTGGGTCATCCTCCACTGCGCTCCTGGGCCACAGCAGAGAACTGGACTGGAAAAGGAGCAACCAGGACAGAATCCAGCACCCCGACCAGAACTAGAACCTGGTGTGCCGGCACCGCAGGCGAAGGATTAGCCTAGTGAGCCATGGCGACGGCCGACTTGGGTCATCTTCTACTGCTTTCCCAGGCCATAGCACAGAGCTGGATCAGAAGTGGAACAGCCGGAACTAGAACCAGTGCCCGTATGGGATGCCAGCACTGCAGCTAGCACAGCTCTACTCACCCTCCCCCACCCCCCCCAGAGATTTATTTATTTGTGACAGAGACAGGGAGAGAGAGGTCTTCCATCTGCTAGTTCGCTCCCCAAATGGCCACAACAGCTAGAGCAGGGCTGATCCAAAGCCAGGAGCCAGGAGCTTCTTCTGGGTCTCCCACGTGGGTGCAGGGGCCCAACCACTTGGGTCATCTACTGCTTTCCCAGGCCATAAGTAAAGAGCTGGATCAGACGAGGAGCAGCCTGTACACCAACCGGTGCCGATATGGGATGCTGGGCTATAGGCGGAAGCTTAATAATCTACTATCCCACGGCGCTGGCCCCAGGATCCCATATCTTGAGACTGAGGTTGGGAGAGCTTAGTTTCATTGGTTGTGCTTGCTCTGTTGAAACTTACCTTTGTCAGTAAACCTTGTCCAAAAGTGTGCAACACGGAGCCAGCAGGCAACAGGGGTCAGGTGTCTCTAGGGAAACACTACAGTTTGCAACCCCAGGCTTGCCTAGCCTAGCGCTTGTACTGGCCTCTGCACCACAGAAATGAAGAAATGAAGGGCTTCCGCTATGGGCAGCTTAGTTCTTTGCAGCTCTGAGCTCTTGGCTGTTTGCCAAGCCTGTATGGGAGGTGCTAGTGAGGATTTTAATTAATACTGAGTAATTACCAGGTGATGCTTAAGCATCTCAAAGGCCCTTCAGGTTCCCAAGCCTGTAGCTGCTGACTGCCTGGCTGGGCTTGGCAAGGAGAGGGAGGAGAATCGTTCTAGAGGCTCATCGGGCCTCTGGTCAGCATGTAAGCTGCGGCATGGACAGCCCATGAAGGTCTCCCCCCTTTCCTATTCCTTTCCAGGCTGTCGGGAGGATGGGAGCAAGGTGGGAAATAGCCTGGCCTCCCCCATTCACCCGGTTCCCCTTCCCAGTGTTGTGGACTGCTCCACTGCATCAAGCATGCTGGCCCAGGGTGGCCTGTGGGGAGAGCAGTGTGCAGACCTAGACCTGGGGACCCTGGTGGGTGTGCTGGCAAGGAGGAACGGGCAGAGAGGCCGTCCCCCGCTGGGCCTTCATTCCCCTTTCTCAGCACACACACGTCAGTGGGCTGAGCTCCTTCAAGTTTCTGTTGCTTGCGGCTCTCAAATGATCATCACACTGTAACTACAACTTCCTACAAGGTCTTCCCCATTTGAAACTGCACAGACCTCACGCAACTCCCGAGGGGACTATGGTCATGCCACCATTCTCGCTGGCAGCCCGGGAGGGGGAAGGGTCCTAACTCCACAGGGACTTTGTTTTTGCTGGGGACGGTGGTCATGGTTTTCCTCCAGATCATCATCTGCTCAGGTCCTGCTCAGGCCCCCGGGTCACCTTCAATGTCACCCCCTAGAGTGGGCTCTGTCGTTCTGCACCTGGGGGTTGAGTGTCTGGCCAGTGTGCCTGGTGCTAAGTGCACGCAAACAGGCTCTGAGCGTGCGTTGAAAAGACAGATGAAAGGTTTCCTAGATTACCCAAGAGGCAATAGTCAACGTGCCTCCCAAGTAAACTACTCACTCACCCAGGGTCGTCCGCCACTTCTGCCCGAGAAACGGGTGGCCCAGCGGCGCACGCGCGCTGAGGGCCAGTTCTCGGCGGGAGCGCGCACGCCCGCGGCCGCGTGCGTCACAACCCGGGCGCCTGCCCCGCCCGTCCAGCTCGGCTGACCGTCGGTCCCCGCGGCTGCGGCGGCGGCGGCGGCGCCGGCGGGGGGCCGGGTGACAGCGGCGGCGGGCCGGGTGACAGCGGCGGCGGCTGCAGGCCGGCTGTGGTAGCTGGGGGCTGCGCGGCCCAGAAACCCAGCCCCGGTCCACGCGCGGCGCGACGCGGGGAGGGCCAGGCCCGGGTGGCGCGGGAGGAGACCTCGCGGGCGCCACGCGAGAGGCCGGCGTGAGCTTGAGAGCGCGCGGAGGCAGTGGCCGCCGGCGGCCCGGACCCGCCCGTCCCCGCGGTTACCGCCGGCATGAGCCACATCCAGATCCCGCCGGGGCTCATGGAGCTGCTGCAGGGCTACACGGTGGAGGTGCTGCGGCAGCAGCCGCCCGACCTCGTCGACTTCGCCGTGGACTACTTCACCCGCCTGCGCGAGGCCCGCGTCCAAGCCTTCGTCCCGTCCGCCGCCCCTCCCTCAGCGGCGGCCGAGCCGGGGCCCAGCCCGGTCCCCGTCGCCGACGAGAACGCCGACAGCGACTCCGAGGAAGACGCCGACCTGGAAGGTAGGCGGCGGGCAGGGCCGGGGGTCGGGTCGGGGAGCCGGGGGGCGTGTGCGCCGGGGCCCAGCCGCCCGCCCTGGGCCGGGACCCGGAGTCTTCCGGAGGAGTTTGTCGGGTGTCTCGGAGCCTCCGGGAGAGCCGGGCGGCGCGCCGCTTCCAGACTGAGCCCCGGGGCGCCGCGGGTGCCTTGTCGGGTCCGGCCCGCGTGCTGGCCCGGCCCGGGAGCCCGCAGCCCGCGTCAGGCCCTGCCGGAGCCCCCTCGCCTGCTTTCGTTCTGAAGATGAGAGCATTGACGTCCGGGGACTCGTGTTTCATAACCAGGACGGTAACTTTGTTTGGAAAGAATCCACTTTTTGGGAAAGTTACTGTGAAAAAATTTTAAGCGTGGAAGAGAAAAGGCGCGAAGAAGCCCTGTATGCTGTCACCCCCTTAAACAGTGGAGAGTTCTTGTCATCAATGTTTCCTCTGTACCTTTCTGCCTCCCCTTTGCAGAATATTTTAAAGCGAATCTCGATCGGGTAGTTTCACTTCTGCATTTCTTTTCTTTTTTTTAGATTTATTTATTTATTTGAAGGAGTTACACAGAGAGAGAAGAGGCAGAGAAAGAGAGAGAGAGAGAGAGAGAGGGGTAGAGATTTCTTCCATCCGTTGGTTCACTCCCCAGATGGCCGCAACGGCTGGAGCTGTGCCAATCCGAAGCCAGGAGCCAGGAGCCTCCTTCTGGTCTCCCATGCGGGTGCAGGGGCCCAGGACTTGGGCCATCCTCTACTGCTCTCCCAGGGCATAGCAGAGAGCTGGATTGGAAGTGGAGCAGCTGGAACTCGGACCCACGCTCATATGGGATGCCGGCACTGTAGGTGGTGGCTTTACCTGCTGTGCCACAGCACCGGGCCCCTAGATAAGCATTTCTTAAAGTACGTTCCCTGGGAATGAAAATGTATGGCTTTTTTTGTTGAAACAGTTGAATCAGGTTTGCAGAGCACGACCTTGTCTAGTGTGTGAGTTGCAGGGAAGAAGACAAGGCTCCATCACGCCAGGAAGCAATTCTGTTTTCCAAGGTTGTTCTAACGTGTGCTTTAGCAATTTAACATAGAATTATCCTGCTTTTGAGCAGTGGAAATTTAACAAAGCAATGAAAACATTGGAGAAGCAAAGTTACAGTCTTGGTATTATTAGCTCACACGGAGGGGACAGAGCAAGGAGTTGTGGTGTGAATCTGGTCTGGCCTCTTCTTCCCCTCACAGCTGGTAAGGAGTTAATGGTCATGGCTCCAGGAGTTGTGGGCTTCCCCTTGTTGGACAAAGTGGCTTCTAAAAGCATTTGCTCTCCTGTGTTTCCCTTGACCTATTGTCTATCACATTATGGATTTTTTGGAAATCACAAATTGTTTTCCAAATCTACTACAGTTTTGCTTTGTATTCTTGGACAAGTTGTCAAACCTGTTTGATTTCAGATTTTCTTATCTTTAAAAAGAGGACAGTAACAAGTTTCACAAGGAAAAATGTGTTTTTAAAAGCTTTATTTCAGAATTCACTGTAATCTCTAAAAATTAAAAAGCTGTAACCTGCTTCATGACAAGTTTTAGTTACACAAAACATTATATTTTGGAAATTAGTCCCAGAAGAGTAAAACAGAGTTTGTAAGTTTTTGTATTATGTCTTCATTCTTTATCTTTTATGTCATTTTCAAAATTGAGTTGATTTAAAATTTCGGTAGCTCTGTGTTCTGTTTTATTGGTATTTAGATACTTCTTGTTTGTATCTCAAGTGGCTGTGCCACATGTATTTATAGAAATCAATATGAGGGGAATTTCTATTTAAAGATAATAGACTAAAACAGAAAGATAATAGACTAAAATAGACACACAATGAGATATCACTTTGCCTCCATAAGGATGGTCATTATTTAAACAAGAAAGCAAGCAAAAAAAAGCAAAAACCAGGATGTGAAAAAGTTGTAACCTTTGCACATTGCTCATGGGGATGTAACCATGGCCCAGTGCTGTGGAAAAGTTTGGTGGTTTCTCCAAAAATTAAACATAAGGCTTAACCATATGGTGGAGCAGTTCCATTCCCAGGTGTGTGTCCAAAAGAATTGGAAGCAGGGATGCTGGCACACAAACATGCACTCGAGCATTATTCACAGTAGCCCAAAGGTGGAAATAACTGAAGTGTCCATTAACAGATAAATGGATTACAAACATGTAGCACATACATATGTTAGAATATTATTCTGGGCCGGCGCCTTGGCTCACTTGGCTAATCCTCCGCCTGCGGCGCCGGCACCCCGGGTTCCAGCCCTGGTTGGGGCACCGGATTCTAGTCCCGGTTGATCCTCTTCCAGTCCAGCTCTCTGCTGTGGCCCAGGAAGGCAGTGGAGGATGGCCCAAGTGCTTGGGCCCTGCACCCGCATGGGAGACCAGGAGGAAGCACCTGGCTCCTGGCTTCAGATATCGGCACAGCTGTAGCGGCCATTAGGGGAGTGAACCAACGGAAGGAAGACCTTTCTCTATGTCTCTCTCTCTCATTGTCTAACTCTGCCTGGCAAAAAAAAAAAAAAAAAAAAAAGAAAAGATTATTCAGCCTGAAAAAGGAATGAATGAAATTCTGGTGCTTGCTACAACATGGATGAAGCAAGGCCAGCGCCATGGCTCACTAGGTTAATCCTCCGCTTGGAGCACCGGCATCCCATATGGGCACTGGGTTCTAGTGCCAGTTGCTCCTCTTCCAGTCCAGCTCTCTGCTGTGGCCTACGAATGCAGTGGAGGATGGCCCAAGTGCTTGGGCCCCTGCAACTATGTGGGAGGCCCGGAAGAATCTGGCACCTGGCTTTGGATCAGCCCAGCTCTGTTTGTTGCTGCCCGTTTCGGGAATGAACCAGCAGATTGACGACCTTTCTCTCTGTCTCTCCCTCTGTCTGTAACTCTACCTTTCAAATAAGTAAATATTAAAAAAAAAAAAAAAAACCCTGTATATAGCAAGCAAACTTTTCTTAGTAAGTTCCTTATGCCCAACGAATTCAGTGTGTAAAGTTGTATGCTGTTGGAATCAAAAAACTTACTAGTTGTTATTAGTTTATTTTTTAAAGATTTATTTATTTATTTGAAAGGCAGAGTTACAAAGAGGCAGAAGCAGAGAAAGAGAAGTCTTCTATCTGCTGGTTCATTCCCCAAATGGCCATGATGGCTGGAGGCTAAGCTGATCCCAAGGCAGGAGCCTGGAGCTTCATTCGGGTCTCCCACACAGGATCAGGGGCCTAAGGACTTGGGCCATCTTCTACTGCTTTCTCAGGCCATAACATAGAGCTGGATTGGAAGTGGAGCAGCCGGGACGCAAACCTGCAACCATATGGGATGCCAGCACTGCAGGCGGCAGCTTTACCCTTTACACCACAGCACTGGCCCCATTGGTTTGTTTTAATAATAGCTTTTATATAAAACAGTTTTTCAAAGTATGAAATATTATAATGAGAATTTAGTTGCTGAGAAAGCCTGAAGAGTGAAGCCTTACTAAGAAGTTACTCTAGGGGCCAGTGCTGTGGCGTAGCTGGTAAAGCTGCCGCTTGCAATGCCAGCATCTCATATAGGCTCCAGTTTGAGTCCCGACTGCTCCACTTCCAATCCAGCTCTTTGCTAATGGCCTGGGAAAGCAGTGGAAGATGGAGACCCAGAGGAAGCTCCTGGCTCCTGGCTTCGGATTGTCCCAGCTCCAGTGGTTGTGGCCAGTTAGAGAGTGAACCAGCAGGTGGAAGACCTGTTTCTCTCTCTCTCTGCCTTTGCTGCTCTGTAACTCTGCCTTTCAAATATTTAAATAAATCTTTTTTTTTAAATGTTACTCTAGCTTGCACAAAAATAAATTGGCACGTAGACTTTAATCACCTTTGTGATTACCATAGGACATTTATACTTGAAGGTCTCCCAGCATTTTTCTTTACTTTTTTTTTTAAGCTATATTGTTATTTATTTGAAAGGTAGAGAGACAGAATCAGCATTTTTCTTGATAGCAGCTTTATGGAGGTATGTTTTTAAAGCTTTTTATTTGGTGATATATTGTGAGTCTCTCTTTTTTTTTTTTTTTTTTTTGATTTATTTGACAGGTAGAGTTATAGACAGTGAGGGAGAGAGACAGAGAGAAAGGTCTTCCTTCTGTTGGCTCAGACCCCAGAAGGCCGCCACGGCAGGCACTGTGCCGATCTGAAGCCAGGAGCCAGGTGCTTCTTCCTGGTCTCCCATGCGGGTACAGGACCCAAGCACTTGGGCCATCCTCCACTGCCCTCCCAGGACACAGCAGAGAGCTGGATTGGAAGAGGAGCAACCGG